AGAGAAAAAAAGATGCCAGAGACGCTGGGAGACTACTTTGAGTGCCAGGCAGAAGTTCCTATAGTAATCATGACGATTTTCAGATGATCGTGCAACTTTCTCAACGAAAAATGCAACGTCGTAAAGAGAAAATGCTGCTAGACGGTTTTGTGACCACTCAAGAAGTGCTCAGCCAGCGGAATCCGGACACCACTGCCAAACATGGAATTCTGTCAGTCACTACCGTCTAGAGGAGAAGCATACCACATCATGAATATCATGAATACCTGGGTAAACACTGTGATCAGGAACACACTGCAATGAAGCATAACACTGATATTAATATGCTGTCTGGTGTTATAATGACCCTTGAAACCACATTTGGTTATTATGAACAGGATAAATTTATTATTTTGTATATGTTCCTATACCTGTACCTGAGATATCACCACAAAGAAGAATCAGAAGCTGGTTGGGGGCATCGCATCGCACTTGGACGTTTTGCTCTTGTCCCAATGAGGTCTCATTCTTACCGTACTATTTGAGCAATTTGGGAGGAGCAACGTTAGGGAACAGCTATCAAACGCGCTTCCTCGGCACTGATTGCTCCACACCAACCACTTCAGTCATATTCAGGTGAGACTCTTTTTGATGGCAGTTCGGCGACGGGGGGGGTGGATCTTTAGCATTCGCCACTTCCTATCGTGTCGAGCCATCGAGATAGCCTTGCGAGAGTTGACAGGTTTCATCACGGTGGCTGGACGAACTTTCTCCAGATACCTAAGAGTGCACAGGTTTTACCGAGTGAGACTTGTAAACCGGAACTAGTGAAGCTGCAAAAGTAATGCTCCCCCTCCCCGTCGTCAAACAGCGCCCTTTTTGACTGTTGCTGTAGATCAACAACTAGCCTTGAAGCACTTCAGCCACAGTAGCGTGGATGGTCTGAAGTCATTTACGTCATTGAAATGTGCGCTCTTTGCCCGCTGGAGAAAGCTTGGTGCAATAATACGACCCCCTCCCAAAATGTTCTCGTGTTACGGCCTGGCCTCTCTTTTTCATACTACCTGGCTTCCTAAATCTTTCCCAACTTGCAAGAAATGTCCGTCTCTTTCCCAAAGTGAGCAGTGGGGGGGGGGAGGATGTGGGGTGGGTGGGAGGCCATATAGCGCACGTGCAGGAAAGTCTGAAGGAAGTGAACAACCGAAAACATTTTTCTCACAAGCGAATACGGCTTCCCTTCCTTGCTGGGGATTCACCGTCCAGCGCCGCAAGATTGTGGATCCTCTACAGACCTGCCTTGCTGCGCTCTGCCCTGTCAGCGGGAGCGATAGTGCTGCTCTTTCCGCGCGGGAACAAAAGTAGTCTGCACTACGTCACTCACTGGGAAGAACCTTTCGGATTCTGCCAGAACCTCTCGCATCCGCTCAGCTATCCCTTTGCGCATATGTGCAAGCCTTTTCGTTGAAGCAGCAGGTCCTACCAAGAGAAAACGCAGGTCTAAAATAGTATGCCGCTACATACCCTGCAAAGTAGTGTACCACAGGTGTTGAATGATTCGTCGCACCCATTCCGATGATACCAGCTACCTATAGCTGTGATAGCACGGGATAAAGGTTGTTATTTCATATCATGACTGTAGTAATGATAATAACGACCGGTGAGACGTATTCACCAGCGCTCAACACAGTCAGAAGCTAGGATGGATGAGGTGAGTTCATTTGCTCATCAGTAGCGCTCCCCATACAGTTTCCTTGCTATTGGGGCACTCGACGGTGCACAGGGAGCCAAGTAGTCCTCACAAGAATCGTGATGAGCTGTGATAGGAACAGGAGTCCAGCGCGTGAAATTTGCCCTTAAGCACAGGAAACGTTCCCTTGCCTCTTGGTTGTGTATCGCACGGTGCGGCTTCGAATCGAGGGAGCAAGAAAAGAGAACTGTGCCACGTTTCCTGTCTAGCTTGCCTCTTCATGTCTTGAAGCGCCTTTCCTAGGTACAGAACGGGTGGATAGCTGTTTTAGTAGTCGCGAGAGACGGGCAAGAGAATCGTAAATTACCGCTTCGTCGCGCGCGGCAGCGGACGCGACGTTTCCTCAATTTGCACTACCTTTTCGACTGGAGCATCGGATTTCATGTAGACAAGGACATGGTGGAATTTATGTCTATTTTTGGTCATACATTGTCTATTCTCGACCAATACCACCTAAAATCGTCGTCATTAGAGGGCGCGACGCCCACT